ATGAAAGTTAACAGAAAAGTTCAAATGATAGTCTCAGTGTGCTTCATTGTACATAGGAGAAGAGTGCTGAATATACCATGGACTTCTAGGAGAACAAACAGGTTTGCCCTGGAGAGGGTGAAGCCAGCATGCTCCTTGGAGTCTAGGATTCTGAAGCTTCGTCTGACATACTTTGGGCATGTTGCAAGGAGGGACTGGTCCTTGGAGAGGGGCATCATGTTTGGGAGAGTGGAGGGATGGTGCAGGATAGGAAGATCCTCAATGAGATGGATGGATTCTATGTGCGGAGTGGTGGGAATGAGTGTGTCTGAGATGGCGAGGTTGGCACAGGATAGAACGGTGTTTAGGGCTCTAGTACATAGAGTCGCTATGAGTCGCAAGTGACTCGATGGCACATAACAACAACAGAAATGTTGTATGTTTTTTTAATTCATTCATGCTTGTACATTTTCCTCCCTAGCCTCCTAGTTCATTTACTTAATATAAAATTGATATTTTATACTGGTTTACTTGCAAAGTTTGAATATATTGTTTTTCCCACCAGATCTTTCCATTTCCTTAGCCCACCCTTCCCTCCATCCATCAAATTATGAGACCTCATAATTACCCCCTCACCCATCCTCGCCCCTCTGCTTCCCCCATCCCTCCTTATATCCTCATGCACGTTTTACTAGTTCTCTATTTCTACAATAATGGCCTTATACAGTATTTGTCCTTATGAGACTGAGTTCACTTAGCATAATACTCTCCAGTCCCTCCCAAATGAGGGCTGTGATTTATAAATTTATTGTGCCTGTATGCTACACTGTATTCCATCATTTGAATGTACCATAATTTTTCAATCCATTGGTTGGGCTCTTGGGCTATTTCCATGTTCTTGTGATGGTGAATAATGCTGCTATGAACAGTTGTGTACACGTTTCCATTTGTGCCTCAGTTCTCATTTTCTCGGGTTATATTCAAAGCAATGGAATAACCGGGTCATATGGTTTTTCTATGTTTAGCTTTATGAGGAAGCACCAAGCTGCCTTCCAGAGTGGTTGTAACATTTTACAATGTCACCAACAGGGTATAAGAGTTCCTATCTCATAACATCCTTTCCAACATTTATTTCTTGCTGTCCTGTTAAACTTTGCAACTGCTACTTGAGTAAGATGGTGTCTCATTGTGGTTTTGATTTTCACCTCTTCTGTTGTACGGCCTTTTCTAAACCATGCTCATATTCTTGTATTTCTGGCAGTTCTCTGTCTATGCACTGTTTAAAACACCTTACCATCAGGTCAATAAGCAGCATCATGATAGGTGGAAAAAAGATTTAAGTTCTTAATTATTTTGCCCTGCTCAAATCTACAATCAACACTTTTGGTACAAGCATTCTGGAAATCAAAAGGTGAGTTGCATTGGAAAACTGGGCTGAAGGACCTCTCTCGGAGGCTAAAGAGCAAATATGTCCATCTGATTGTCTGAAAAAAAAAACAGGTAAGAACTGTTAGCTTTCACTCAAATAGAGAGAGAGAAGGAAGAGGAGGAGGAAGAGAAAGGAGGAGGAGGAGGAGAGAGGGAAAGAAAGATCCAAAAGCAGGAAAATTTAACTTTTAAATGCCGTCTACCAGAAAAAAAATTCGTAAACGTCTCGCTAACAATACATGCAATTACCACTTTGTAATAATAGCACTTTCTATTTCCTTTTATCCATTTACCTGTTTCTTTTTACATTCTTTTGGGGAAATTTTGCCATTTTTGGTATTGTATAATTGATTGTTCTGAGAAACACATTTCTCGTGGATCTTATTGTTTATTTTATAGGCCAGTCTATTGCTTATTATAGCCCCTCAGAATGGGTCTAGTCTTGAGCAGATCAATACATCTGCTCTTTTGTTTTGTTTTGTTTTTTTAATGCATTTGAATGCTGTCCAAGATTGTTCTTCCATTTTAACTGATACTTTCCACTGTGTTTCTCCTCTTGTCTCACTTAGACTGAAGGAGGCTCTGGTTCAAGTGAGTCATTAACCCTTTGGACTTTATTGAATTTTTGTTTTCTCTACTCTTCTTTGCTGCAGTGGGAAGAGACCAGCACTTTTTTCTGAGACGACCTCACGTACACTTTCAAGATTTCCTGTCTTAATCACTAGAGTAGAATTTAGAACATTTTGTTTATGAATTTGCTATGCTTCTGAGATCTGAATAACAAACAAGAGTGACAGAAACAGTATCGATACCTTTGTATTATGGTGTTGGAGTACGTAATATCTCATTCACTGTCAGAAGAATACTCGGATATCTTGGGAAAAGTACAGACATCTAGAATGCTCCTTAGAAGCAAGAAGAGCATGACGTTGTCTCACATACTTTGACCTTGTTGGTAGGAAAGGCTATTCCCTGGAGAGGGACATCATACTTTGAAAGGTAAGAGAGTCGATGAAAGAGGGGAAAGTCACCTTCAATGAGATGAATTAATACAGTGACTGCAATGGGTTCAAGTGTGTCAGAGATGAGGAGGAACGGCACAACGTAGGACAGGGTTCTGTTCTGTTGTTCTGTTGTTCATGGTCACTATGAGTCCTATTCAATTCAATGACACTTAGCAACAACACACTTATTCATTATATTATGCCAATTGATCTAGATATTCCACAAACTGAGATTCTTTAACTTGCAAACTCTGTCGCTCATTTCCACTAGTGTTTGATTTTGTCTACAAAGATTCCGTAGCTGTGCCCTATGTGCTGTATTGTATAAATGCAGCAAATACGAGGAACTTGTGTAGACAAATCTCACAAACATGGTTTATACTCACACAGTTGCCCTCCCAGACAATCTCTAATATCTGCTTAGTATTTATATTTACTAATATATCCACTAAAAAATCTATTATTTATTGTTACTGTTGTTGCAGGCTTGTACATGATGAAGTATTCAGTTAAGCCATCCTATATTTTTGCAAGCCTCTCAATGACTTCCTTTCTCTTCCATCAAATGATTTAACTTGCCCAATATTGGTATTGTGCTTCCTTTCATGAGAAATAGTAAGTATACATTATCTACTTAGTGATTCCCTCCCTGCCCCTCCAACACTGGGAAACAATCCAAGTATATCTTTCTTTTTGTAAATCTGTTCATGATGGGGGTTTTTACCACTTATCCTTTTTTTGACTAATTGCACTTATTGTCCTCCAGATTGATCTATTTTTTATCTATTTTTATCTATATTTTATCTATTATTTATCTATTTTATCCATTTTTTTTTATTTTATCCATTTTTGAGATGTGTCACACAGTGAACTTTATTCTTTATCACTACATGTTGTTGTTATTACTATGTGCCATCAAGTTGTCTACAACTCTGAGTGACCCGACCTGTACAACAACTCTGAACGCTGTTCTGTCTTGAGCCAACCTCATTGGTTCTGACACAGCTACCTCCATTACCCGAGTCATTGTGTCAATCCATCTCATCCAGGTTATCTTCTCTTGCTCTGTCCTTCCACCCTTCCAAGCATGATTTCCTGGATCTCCAAGGACTGGGCCCTCCTTGCAACATGCCCAAAGTATGTCACACAGAGATTCACAATCCTTCCCTCCAGAGAGTAGCCCGGTTTCACCCTTTCCAGGATGAACTCCTAATTGTTGTTGCTGTTGCTGTTGTTGTTACTTCTGCAGATTGCCTTCTAGTCAAGAAAGACTCCTAATGATCTTATGAACAAAAGGCCTAACACCTTTCTATAATTATCGGCATTTATTAAAGTTCATAGTTTACAGAGGCATGTTGTTTAGAAGTGGATACCATTCCTGCTTCCAAACTTGTCTTAAACTGGGAGCTCCACCAAACACTGTCCACCATGGGTAAGCATTATGGCATTTGATATCCCAGTGGCATAAGGTTCAGCATCACAGCAACCCCAGATTACCTCAATACAACATATTGACAAAAGAGTGCTGTATCACTAAGAAGAATGTCAATACTCTTTTCCAGCACCACAACTCAAAGACATCAATTCTTCATCTTTAGTCACTGTTCAGCTCTCTGAGGCATAGCAAGTAATTGTGAAGACCATGGCCTAGATCAGGTGTACCTTAACCTCATTGCTGACATTGTTACTCTTCAGTACTCTGGAGAGGTCCTTGACAGCAAATTTTCCCAGTGCAATCAATATTTTTTT